CGTCATGTTGGACCGAGAGTCTCCACTAACAATTAGGCCCTTTTCAACGCCGTCGTTTGAGGTTAGCAGTCGGGTATTTGTGAGTCCAACTCCCATGTTTTACAGTAATGTGATACCTCATTCCATTGGCAGGATGCAATAAGCGCATGTAGCCTTTGGGCGAAAACGTGTCCGCCGTTGTGTTGATCCGGGCGGTTGTTTGTGGCCGCGCGCAGGGGGATTGTTGGCGACCCAATGGCTCGGTAGTACGGTTAGTGGTACTAGTGTAGAAAAGGGGGGCAGCAACCACAAAAAGGAAAAGAGAAGACGAGGGAAAATAGGTGGTGGGTACTGGATCCGCACCTCCCGTTCCGTCTTCCGTCTGGAAAATGGAGTCTTAGCTCCCGTCCGCCGGATCCCGCAGGACTGGGTTCCCGTCTCCCGTCTCCCGCCAGCCTGACAAAGTCCACTGCGTGCGTGATGGTCACTGCCATTGGCCTATTTACACGCATACTTGTGTGCTAAAACCAACGAGAATGTCCAACACACGGTTCCAAGTCAGCACCACTGCTTCAGGTTTTTCTATCACTGCATGGTCTGTATCCCTCTAGACTGCCGTCACGTCCAACCATCTTCAAGCTTCAGCTGATCTTGGGGCTCCGTACGCAACACTGCCGGTTTGCTACTGGCTCGCCCCGGGTGCCGCACCATCTCCGGCATGCGTGTCCGCAGCCCCCGACATGCCGCATGAAAGGGAGCCTCTTTCTGCTCGTTACGTGATGAGTGTGCGCTGGCATTTTGCGGGGACGCTTCTCCCTTGACCTGATGCGGAACAGAGGTTCTCTGGTCCACTTCCTCCGTCCTTCACCCGTCTCCGGCCGTTAGGCGTTTGAAGTTCAAAAAGAGAAAGAAGGCCGTTGACAACCGGCCGACCGGCCCACTTTGTCAAGTTTCGGAATTTCCCAGCTACCCGACAGTAAGTAAGGAGCTCGCTAGATAGACGCCTACCGAGGGAGAGTTCGACGTCCCCAGGTCCTGTCGCCGCCGCCGCCGCGCCACTGGGCCGGTGTCGGTGGCCGTTTGTCCGCCGGACACGACAGACGGGGTGGAGAGGTGCTGGTCTCACGATCCTGTGCCATGCGATCTAGGTAACACATCTGTTGCTAATCCCCAAGGAAGGCCACTCATCCTTGTGTGTCTCTCTGTTTTGTGTTGCCCCATCCTCCCCTCGGGCATGATGGCTTTCTTGCTACCTGAAGCCCTTCTCTACTGGTAGCACGCCCCTAGGGGTTGGCTCAGAGTCACCCGAGACTGCCGAGTTGGCACTACGACACAAATTCACGATACCTAGTAAGTGTTGCACCCAGCACTGATGAGTGGCCAGTTGGTATGGGGACGACAAGACAGACGAGTCGGGGCGCTGTATGGGTAAGTTGTTGGTCCCTAAATTAAGGCATGTACTGTTACGCCATGTGGTGCAGCTTCATTCTGATCTGTCGATACTTGCTCATCAGTTATTGCTTTCCTCTCCGATGAGATGGGACTCTCTTTGAGCCTTACAGGTCATGCACTGTGACCGCAGCAACTGAAGGCCTGACCGCATAATTACCCACAGCTCCTACGTGGTCATTTGTCTTCGTTCTTGCTTTTTGGTCCCTCTGAAGATATCCAGGAAGGTGCGAGGCGAACGAGGAAGAGAAAGAGCCACCGGCCGTTCGGCCAGCCATTCCCCGACGAATATTGGGGGCCGCGAGTCAAATTCTGTGCTATGTACTATCTTCTGATGTACGTACCTATTGCTTTGTCTCAGTGCGGTCGGCCGGCTGCTCTCTGTTTTCACTTCCTCCAGTCTCTGCGAGTGCGATGGTGAGAACGATGATGAGGATGAGGATACCTAAGGATCACACAACAGTGGTCTTAGTCTTAGCTCCTGTCCTGGCATGTTACGCAGATTCTTCCGTTGTGTCCAAGACAAGCTTTTTTGTATTATGTATCCACTTGCTTGTTTAGGGATTGGCGGCAGTCTGGTCTCAGTTTCTCCTGTCCTTGTGTCTCTGACCCAAGAAAGGTTTGTGGAAGAAGATCGAGCTTCGGTAAAAGGGGGGGAGGAGCACGGAGAAGTGAAGGGAGCAAGTCTTGTCCGGGGAACGGCATATTCCGATGAACCATGGCTTTAGTCATACTTGTCTCCCCTCTGGACAGTCACAAGAAACCTGGGTGAGGTGGTTGAGTGTCTTGCAAGTTGAAGGAGTTGGTGTTAAAGTTCTAACGACGCAGTAAGATACACAAAAATCCGTGATCATGTCCCCTCGAGACTCCCAACATCAAGAAGAGATATAGAAGTAACAAGGCCTGAATAACAAATGCCTAACCAAGAGAGTTCGCTCTCCAATATTCTAGTGTGCTTCCGGCATGGGGTTCCTGGCGATGTGCGAATCAAACCTGCACTCCTGGGATCCCACAGTCAGGTACCACATGAATTTTGAGCCTTGTAAACCGGCTCGCTGGTTTACAGGCTGGTTCATTAACGTCAAGCTCCAAGCTTCAAGGGCCGGGGCCGGAGCCGTCCGCGTCTGTGTATATGCTGTGTATGTCCGTATCTGTGTTCAAGTGACACTGAAAACAAAAGAGAGGGAGAGGGATTATATGGTTTACTTATCTGTATTACTATACTACTATGGCCATCCTTCACTGAGTAACATGAAAGTTGAGCACCCAGCCATGAGAAAGGAGCAACTCGGCATCCCAGCCAGCTAGCCTAACACCCCTTTCTGCGCCTCAAATCGCGCAAGACCTCCGACTCAAAGCAGCCCAGATTCAGCAACTCCCTTGTGTCGCCATGTCGCCATGTCGTATTACCCTACCTACCTATAGCAGGTAAGCAGAACATCAGTACTCTCTGAGTGCTGTTGCGGCGTGTACGACTTCACTGGATATAGTGTGAGAAGGTAAGAACGGACTGGATGGATGGATGAAAGGTATCTGTCTCAGGCTCCGACGAGAGTAGATTGTAGAGGTACGTACGTCTGTAGATAGGCTAGCAGTCTGTAAAGAATATGCCAAGTAATTGTTACTTAGAAATTATGTGTATAACGAATGCTTCTTTCATCCTGTGGTGACGAGGCTCGTTTATCCCATAAACAAATGACTAGTTGGACAGAGTGAAAACGAGACAGGCCCCGAGAGGTAGTTGAATTGAACAAACGCATCAAAATAGATATTGATGAGTGATTGGGTAAACACCATAGTGCGCCTCCCCTCCTTTGACCTCAGCCTCTTCTTCCTCTTCAGGTTCTTTGGCCCAAAAAATGGTAGTGTCATAGATGTGCAAGAGCACGTTTTCGTGTAAGTACTACCCGCTCGCGATGTAAGTAGGTACTTTCCCCACGTCTCGTTTAGTTACCTTCGTATCCTTTTCCCTCAGCCCCAAGTATTGTATTCACCTTCCGGCTCACGGAGTATCATGTGTAGTGGAAATAGTCAATTTGTGATGGAAATGCTTGAGACCCTGATTAAAAATTGAAGACTAAGGAAGGTGCAGCCAACGTTGAAAGACCCGAGATGCCGTGGCATTCAAGTACGTATGGAAAGCGCGATTGGCGTCATAGGTTTCGAATTTGAGTGAGAAAGAAGGAGTGTTTATGGGGAAGCAGCCGTCACCAGCAAAAAATGACCTGCAAAATGCTGAGTTCCCTTCTCTTTTGGCGAGGCCATTACTATCTGGTTATCAAGGGATCTGCCTGGGCTACAATCGAGTCAACAGGCGAATGAGAGGGAGTAGGTGAGTTAACGAAGTCGGAGTGACTGAGCATTTAAGGTGAGAAGACGGTAAACAATGGAACTGAAGAGGTTCTGAGTTGTAACTGAAGAGATGGGAGTATCGCGGTAGTGGTTGGTGCGTTAACCACCCGGCCTAAGAAACATCATACCACCACAAGCTGACCTTTCTTCCTCCGAGCTACTCAGACAGATCTGTTTTGCAAAAGGAGAGGCATGTAGTATCCTTTGTCGTCTGTGAGCGGACAGGATCCCGAGTGCTTGCCCTGCTGTCTATGACCGTATGTGTATTGTTGCCTGGTTGTCCGGATGTGTGAGGAGAGGGTGGTGTTTTGCGGGTTATATATCGTCTTGTTTTGGAGATTTGGGGTCTGGAGGTATAGCACTTCAGTTGATGAGCGTTCTTGTCGGTCCATCTATTTTTTTGTCTGTTTCTCTAAAAGTAAATCGGCGAGGACCATGGGGAGATATTCCATTCATGCTTCGACTCCCGACAAACGGAATCCCGATACTATGGTTTCGAGCTCCCCGGACCTTGTTCTCTCCTTCCCCTATCACGTGGCATACGTATCTCACAGGATTTTTGTTAAATACAAAATGATTGATGTTTCCCATTATGCGTTCCATTCATTCAACACAGCAACATCACATCAGACAAAACCTTCGAACCCTTCGTTAACTATGCCCAAATTCCAATCGCCATGCCAGATAGAAAGCCATCCATCTTAACCTTTGCCTGCCTTAGCCTAACCCTTTTCATTACCCGTAGACCTGTAGTAAGAAACAAAAAACAACAAACAACAAATGAAGAAAGAAAGAAAGAAAGAAAGAAAGAAAAGCGAAGAGAATAAAGACATGCGTTGAATAGTAGTACATGGGATGAGAGAGCAGAAAGGTGTAGAAACAACTGGTAACTCTAGCAAAATTATCGCTTTCTCTCTCTCCCATCGCGGGCTTGACTTTTGTCTATCAGCTTGTCGGCAACAAAAAAAACAAGATGGTTTGAAACAAATAACGATGAAGTAATGATATTGGATGACGGACGATGATATGCAATGATCTTCCCTTCCCCTTCCAGTCCTGTAAAGAAAGAAGAAAAAAAATCAGTTCCATTTCCGTCTGCCTGCAATTCTTTCCTCCGTTGCTTCCCATTCCCCTGGTTCCACCCTATCCCCTTTCGTGTGTGTGTGTATTTGTGTGTGAACAATGATGTAAGTCTAGTGAAGTTCCATCAGATAGATAGATTAGAAGAACTTCGAGAGAGCATTACTCAAGTTGATAAAGTCAACAGGTTTCGTCACGTAGTCGTTGAACCCTGCTTGGAGACACTTATCCTGGACATCACTCATGACATTCGCCGACAGGGCGATGATGGGTAACGGCCTTCCTGGGAACTTTCCCTTGGCTTCCCACTCGCGGATTTCGCGGCAGGCTTGATATCCGTCCTTGCGTGGCATGTGAAGATCACACTGTTGAGACAATGGTTAGCGGCAGAGTTCATTTGCTGAGAGGAAAAGAAGACATACCAAGATCAACGAGAAATAGTCATGAGGCCGCGAAAACACAACATCAGTGCACTCAACTCCGTCTGCAACCAACTCCACATCCACCCCGACCTTCTTGAGATACTTTTGGAGCACCTTCTGGTTGACTAAGTTATCCTCAACCAAGAGGACTTTGTATCCCTTGTTGCCCATGCGCTTCTCCACTTCGAGGTAGCTCTGCTTCTGGCTCTCCACCAACTGCTCTGCCGTCGATCTGTTCCGGTCGATGCTGAGATCACGCTCCTTGGCCGGATCAAAGATCACCGCGAACCGTGATGGCTTGACAGGTTTGTAGATGTAGGTCACCCGGTTCTCAGACAGAATGTCCTCATATTGAGTACCGGCTACTTGCTTCAGAACCGCCTGTCGCTGGACCGAGTCAGAGAGAATGAGGATGGTGACGCCGCGGGCAATCATGCTAGAACGCTGGACTTGGTCCATCAACTCGATAATCTGCTCAGGTGTGGGAAGATTGATCACCACGTGCGTGAAGAAAACGGGGTCCTCTCCGCCAATTAGCTTGCGCGCCTCCTGAACAGATGCAACAGCTGTGATCTGATGAGGGTTATCCTTTGGCAGTGTCATCTCGATATGCTTTGTCGTGGCCTCGCGACTGTGCGTTTGAGGGCAGATGATCAAGATGGAGAACAGTGTTGCGCGAAACCCATCGCTGTCTTCAGAACTACCGGCGTCTTTGTTGGTAGGCCTAGACAGGCGCTCGTTGCTTGAATTACTAGGCGTTGGGGTAGTGCCCGCATCAGAGCCACTGCCTCCTCTAGCATGAGGCATCTCAAGCTTCATCTGGGACAAGTCGTGCCCACTGGCACGAGCTGCCTCGCTAAACCGTGCTAAGGACCCGACGTTAACAGACGACATAGATGAGCGCTCGGTTGTTTGGGTGCGTGACGAGTGGATAGAGGGTTCGGAGCTACTGGTGGAAACTGCTGCTGGCGATCTAGTGTCAGACTCAGCAGGAACCACCGAGCCAGACGAGGGTGCGGAGGTGAGAGATGGCCTACTGTGAGGGGATACCAGGGAAGACCGACGGCGAATGTTCATTTCTGGTATGAGGCCTGGCGTAGGCGCAGGTGCTGCAGCCATGTCGGGGTTGTCAGATTCTGTCGGAAGCCCAAACCTTGCGGTGAAGGTGAAGGTTGACCCCTCTCCTGGCACAGCAGTGCCGTCCATCTTGCCGCCGTGTAGCTCGACCAGTTGGCGCGAAATGACCAGGCCTAGACCACTTCCACCGTGTTGGCGGGTACTGCTTCCATCAATCTGGCTAAAAGGTTTGAAGATCAACTCGGCTTCCTCCTTGGTGAAGCCTCTTCCAGTGTCAATGATGGAGAACTCAAGCATAATCTCGTTCTCGTGCAAAGGACCATCGTCAGGAACAACAACCTTGCATCGGCTGAATACCTCTCCTTCATTAGTGAACTTGATGGCATTGCCGATGACGTTGAGCAAGACCTGACGGATCCGGACTTTATCGCCCTTGACCCATGCAGGCACGTCTTCTTCGACAACATAGTTGAGCTCCAGACGTTTGGCAATCGCCATGGTCGACACCAGCTCGTTGACATCCTCAATGAGAGAGCGTGTGTGGAACCATTCGTAGTTCAGCTTCATCATGCCTGCATCAACCTTGGAAAGATCTAGGATGTCGTTGATGATCATGATCAAACTGTTGGCGCTGGTCTGGATGGTGTTGGTGTAATCACGTTGCTCCTCGTTGAGTGTGGTATCCTGAAGGAAACTGACCATACCAGAAATACCGATCAGAGGCGTTCGGATCTCGTGCGACATGTTGCTCAGGAATCGACTCTTGGACTCCATAGCCTCCTTCAACTTGGTCTCCAGAAGCTTCAAGTCGTTGATATCAGTAGCAGAGCCGAAATAAGAGCTGGCGCCATTGCCGAAGTCGACATTGTCAATCTCAACGCATCGAATGAGATGCCAGCGATACTCGCCGTTCTTGGCACGAAGTCGGATTTCTGTTGTGTATGAGAGCTGGCCCTTGCTGTCGGTGCTGATCTTGATCACCCCCTGCCTGGCAAGCTCGGACAGATTAGGACCCGCGAGGTCGTTAGCAGAACTGCTAGCGCTACTGCTGTGTCTGGTGAGAGCTGGGTGTACTAGCCCCGGAAGACTTTCAACGGTAGGGGTGCCAGGCTGTTTGCCCATAGCAGCCATGCCAAAATTGCTGGGCGAAGGCGAATGGTCATGCCTGGTCTTGTCCTGCCTGACATGCGGTGAAGTAGGTCGTTCGAGGGGAATACGACATTTAGCCAGATCCTCTGGGTGCACGAAATCCATGAAGCCAAGTCCGAGAACATCATCAAAGCTTTGTCCGGTATAAGAAAGCCATTGCTCGTTCGCGAAAGTGATCCCTTCGTCTTCAGTTGCAGTGAAGATGATCTGGGGAATCAGGTTAGCAAGCAAACGATGTTTTGCCTCCGATACCTCAATCTCTTCCTGCCGTGCTGCTCTGAGCTCTGCGACATGCTGATCATGGATGTCCATATATGAACCCAGAAACTGCAAGATGACACCCCTCTTGTCTTTGGAGGCGACAGCCCGCGCGTAGAAATACCGATAAGCCCCATCGAAGCGTCGAATTCTGACGGTAGTGGAGAATTGGTCGCCAGTACGGACAGAGGCACTCCATTTACGAAGGTAATCCTCTCTGTCGTCAGGATGGATGCTTCCCCAAGGGTCTGCGGCAAGATCACCAGAGGTTTGCCCGCGGTACGTCAAGAACCGACTGTTCACCCAGACGATTTCTCCAGTTTGCGGGAGGGCCACGAAGACATGAGCGGGCAGAGAGTCGAGGATAAGGCCTTTGAGCTTGTCCGATGGTGGTGTCATTTCCGCCGATGATATCGAGCCTTGCCTAGATGGCGTTGCAGCCTGGGAGATACCTTTGCCGACGGCGGAACTCGGAGGAAGCGACTGGAATGTGGTGGCAAAGTCGGCCCCGTATGAGTGCAACTGTGTGTGCCGATGCTGACCTGTCGGAGTACCAGCAGGCTTTCTGCGTTGGGACTCGGCCGACTGACTGCTTGCGATGTTGCCTCTTTCTTCCCGCTGCTCTTTGAGGACTGTAGTCTTTTGCTGCGTGTTTGCCGGCAAAGATTCATCAATGCTCCGGCGGGTACTTTCTCCGCTTCCCTGAAACTCCTGCGACACAGGAGTGACGCCCGCTGCATCCTGCCACTGGGATTTACCACCGGGTATCTTCAGGGAACCCTTCCTTTCGAGGGTATTGCCTTCTCTTGAGCCTGCCTTTGCCCGTTGCCCTACAACTGTAACTCCAGACTTTGGCTTAGTGGTGAAGTAACTGTCGGCGGCGGCGATAGGAGCTGGGCTAGCAGATGAAGACCGCTTGTCCATCAAATGACTCAATGCCGAAGGATCCCAGGTAGGCGTACCATTCGGAGAATGTATAGTACTGCGAGATGGACCAGAATAATCGCTAGGACTGGTTATGCTGCCAGCGTGCGACTGCTGGGAGATGTTGTCATCGGTCGGGAGGTATCCCATGGTAAGAGCGGTAGGATCAGCGAGCGGACGCCCGTCAGGACCCAACGCACCGAAGCCGACCGTCTGCGGCCTTCGCTTCTGTAGACCGCTCAGCTCCGTTTCTAGGTTAGTATAGTGTCGACATAGAGAGAAGGACGTGGCCAGATGTGGTGCCAAGTGCTCCAACGAGTGACGAAGGTTCGAGGGATATGGAATGATAGGGCTGAGTATGGACAGGATCGCAATCGGGGCGTGCTTTTCCTTGGCGGCAGGTTCTTGATAGGGCGTAGGGATTGTCGGAGTGTGTCCGGACTTGCCGCGTTGTGACATCTTTTGCTCCAGGAACGCCGAGTCCAGTTTGAAGCCCGGTTGCTGAGGTTTCGACAGGAGGACATGGGTTAGAGGGATATGCAACACGGTCCACGAGTTGTCAACCCCAATAGCCTCGGGTGGTTGCAGAGCTGAGTAGTCTGGAGGAGCAGAACCTGGATTGAATGACTCCTCGTCGACCATGGCATCCGTGAAGAAAGGATTCTCGCTGGGGTCAGCTCTCACGGCGGGAGAAGGGGCTGGTGATTGAGACCACGGAGATGGTGGTGCCTGCTCGTACTCCTCATACTTGGGCGTCGGGGGCCTTGGGTGTTCGTCATCCAAGCGAGAGGCAATCCCAGTAGCCTTTTTCTCCCCCCTGCCCGCCGGAGGTCCTACCTGCGGTGGATGACAAAGTCGCGCTGCCCAAAAGCGCAGAAAGTTTGGTAGTTGACTCGGATCGCGTGCGAATTTTCTTGATCTTTTTCCGTGGTCCCTCTGGTGACTGGCTGCGTGTCGCTACTTTGGGGTCAGCGCCTTTGCTGTCGGCTGACGATGTTTGCGCGAGATACGGATATGTCCTAGTAAGAGCAACAACACGACCGCGCTCCAAAACCCGCAATACCCCATTGTGGTCGAGTAAAGGGTCGGCCTCGTAGTCCAGTGCCTGGAGGACATTCAAGAGTTTTCCGTGCCCTTCTCTCTTGTTGGTTATTGGTGCTTCCCAACTAGGAATGGGCTGCTGGCCCTCAAGGGCGTCATGCTCCGCCAAAGCTTCGCGGTTCAAGCTCACAGCAACGTCCTCATCCTCCTCACTCGCATCTCGATCACGTCCAACGCCTGGGTGAGTAGTCTTGCTTCGTGAAGCCATTGGTGGCCGAAGGGGTGTGGCAGGCGCTCGTTCAATCAACACTTTCTTATCCTTATTGTCTTCAAACGAAGAGAACGAGTGTCGACTCGGCAGCCCGGGACGCGCTAGGCCCTTTGGCTTGAGGGATTCATCGTTATTCTGGTAGAGGTCGGTGATATCGTCGGTACTGCTGTGGACAAAGCTTGAGCCTCTAGCCAGATAGCCTAGGCTAAGGCCATCCTCCTGGTGGGCGTTGTAGGTTGCCTTTTGCCCCCATGGCACATTCTCGATATCTGTCGAATCAGCAGGCACAGCAAGGGTTACCCTTTCCGCCCTGTAAACTTCAGTCATAATCTGGACGACCGTGTGCCACCATGCATCCAAGCCCGGCTCAGCCGAAAGCATGAGCGTCAAGTCGTAAAGATTGGGCGTTGCAAATTCACCAACTTCGGTACCGGAGCACCCCTGAGGCAGAAAGGTCATTGCTGAGGCAGGAGTAGAGGGATTGGACACGGAATGGTCGAGACCCTGGAGGCCGGAAAACGAGATCTGAGCCCCTGTAGACGGGTGTGTGTTCGGAAACGTAGTTGGTGAGAGCGTGGTAAACGGGCGGTGTAATGGCGGGCCAATGTGTGGAAAGCCAGGCGAGGATACCATGCGCGGGAAGGGATACGAAGGAGTTCTGGCCGCCAAGCCCGGGGTGACGCCGCCGCGGATGGTGTTCCCAGACTCGGTCGATGTCGTAGTTGGCTCGCTGCCGCTCTGGGGGGCTGTGGCGAAGGACTGCTAGCCTCCTCCTGAATAGGAGACACGCGTACCGGGCCCGGGATGGGCAGCCGGTTCTCCGTTGCCGCAACAATCTCTCTCTTTTCCATCTCGCGGGCCAAGTGCAAACGGTACTGACTTAGCTGCCGCTGTGCCTCGGACGCATCCATCTTACCCTGCAGCGAATCTCCCACTGTCCTCTTTCCATTCTCTGCCGGCAAGTGCCTTTCCTCGGTTGACGGTTCGCTGCTGGGGCTATCGTTGAAGCTGACCTCGGAAGAAAGCCGGGAGGGCTTGCGCACCGAGTCCCTAGACCGGATGTCATCCACGACGGGTGCAGGGGCGTGCTGATCGGGGGCTCGTGGCTGCGGCGTCGGAAGTTGAAGCGACCCAGGCCCTCCTCTCCCGTCGACGCCACCAGTCATTTGGTGCTGCTGATCAAGCTGTTCAGTTGGCGCAGGAGCCTCTGAAGGACTCAGGGCATAATCATCGGTAGGACCGATCTGGGTTCGCGGAGTAGTGCACTGGTCGGAACAGTGACTGTCTGGCGAATCGATGACAGTTCTGGGAGGAGTCGTCGTGCGCGGGGGCGTGGCTGGCGTCGTGGTCGTAGTCGTGGGCGTCGTGGCCGCAGTAGTAGCTGCTATCGTGGGAGTGGGAGTGGGAGTGGGAGTGTGAGTGGGAGTGAAAGCGGGAGTCGTAGTGGTAGTGGACGCGGGCGTAGATTCGGTTGTTCCTGGTCTTTCGGTGGAGCGAGGGCGCAGAAGAGGCAAGGAAATGCTCTTTCTTTTCTCTTTCTCTTTACTGTGGCTTCGGCGATGAAGGCTGAAAAATCGCATTCCTCATGTGCAGTATGTCTCCAAAGTCCAGCTTAAACAATTTTTTTTTTTTTTTTTGAATTATTAATTGTTGGGTAGTGTCGTGGTGCTCGGCAACACGGATGGGATTATGGCGCGTGCGCTATGTTGTTGGGGTCAATAGGGGCGAGCTTTGTGAAAGGTTCGTCGAGGGTTTTGGCGTAGCGAGTTTCTAGTGAGTGGTGGCTGGAGTCTTTGGACAGGCAAAAAAAGCACTCGTAGACCGTAGCAGGACAAGGCGTGTGCCGGGCAGGGTTTCGGTCAGACGTGGCCTGGATCGAGATTCACGCTGGCGGTAGTAAACTAGTGTAGTGCAGACTTTGAGTTGTCTTTAGGTGTATACAGGTTGTAGACGATCTGGATGCTGTTGCGAGTGTCTGTCTTTCTTTCTGCAGTGCTGCTTGGTTTGGGGTGTGGGGGTGCGTTGCCGGTGCGTGTTCGGTAGTAGGACGGTCTGTCTGCGTGGATCCCTGGCGAGGTTTGGAAAGGTCAAGTTCGGTTTGGAGGCGAGGTGTAGTGTACGGTATGGTACGGGAGGAAGATGGATGTTCGGCGGATGAATCGAATTACGGGAACGGGATGTTAGGCGGTGTAGCAAGCAGCCGGACGGCCAAGTTGGAATGTCTTCGTCAACGAAACAATGGAGACCTCTGGACTCCGACCCGAGAAGCAGAGACTTGAACTTGGCTCCAGGCGGACGGTGCAACTAGAGTAGGCCAGGACAAGGTCGGGCGTGTTAGGGCGGTAGTGGGCGGCAGTGGGCGGCAGTGGGCGGGCGGGCTTGGTCGTCGACAACTAACAAATTAAACACATCAATCTGCCAGTCAGGTGCAGCTGCTCACCACACTTGACAGTTCTTGCCTTTTTCAAAACCCCATCGTCCCCTGCTCGGGCTCTTGCTCTGCTCTGGCGGTGGATGGATGGGCAGCGATGGCAGCGATGCCCACTGGATAGACCTTGCTAACTTGCGAGACCTGCAACGGGCACCCGGTGGATGGAACCTGGGATGGAGCGTGGATGGGCCGCAGATGGCACCGATGGAGCGAAAGTTGGCAGGGCCCCAGTTCGCCAAAGGGGACTATGACGTGATGACCCGTACCTAGGGCGGCGGAGAGAGGCTGCGAGCGCGCGGGCACGGAGCTACGGCAAGGGGCGTGTCCCCTTTGGGCTTAGGTCAGCACAAGCATGTTTGACGCCCACCCGCCAGAGCAGACCAATTGTCGTGGACTGCCCGGCTTCCACTTGCCTCTTTTCTGGCTGGTCAAAGCGCCCAATGTTGATGTGCAGTACAGTAAGGTACTGTTAGACCCGCACATAACGATCAGAGGTATAACGATATTCTCGTCATAACGATCGAAAGCTCGGAAACGGCTGCTAAATGTATGGGAGTAACGATCAACTTCTACATTACGATTACGATCAGATTTCTAGCGCGAGCCGCACTCAAATTGTTATATTCAAGGGTGCCGAACCGGCTTGTGACAGGTTCTAACAGCCTGTAACGGTCGGTAACAGGCCCTTTCAGAAGCTAGGAGCCTTCTGATTGGCCAGACAGGTCAGAGTAATAATAACCTGAGTATTATGATCAAGACCCCAATAACGGACCTGATTGCTATGTGTAGGTCTAACAGTACATTTATGAGTACCTGTGTGTCCCATCCATAGCAATATGATATTCAGAATTTTATAATAAAATCTTAAGTTAAGTAGAAAAAGGTATTATAAACCTCTTATTTAATTATTAGCGTAGTTTAAGCCCAATATTTTTTTAATAAAGAGATTACAAAGGGGGTTGTAAGATAAGATAGTATATCTACGCTATTTGATTAGCTGAAATTGCCTGATTTTAAGGTAAGAAAGAGTTGATAATGGTTTATACCTACCTTCTCTTTATTTCACTAGCTTATAGACCAGAATTACTTAAATTACTTATATTTACTTATTATAAAAAGTAAAATCAAAGATCATTCATAAGTATTTATAAGGCATTTGCAAATGCTTAGTAATATTAACTAACCAAATTTCGGAATTACAAGCGAAAACAATAAATAAATTATAATTTTTTAATTAAATTACAAAATTTAATTGAACTACCTATTTAAGCTTGCTATATTTAAAAGAGCTTGCAAATACTTAATTTTGATTCGAATCCAAAATTTGAAACTACATAACGAAAGTTTATACGCTATATAAATCGGGTTTGCTTCCGTATAAATTATTATATTACCTATATACGTGCTAAAAGTTTGTTACTGATACGGGTAACCTGAGTTGCTCTGCAAATACGATGTGTGGTATTTGAAAGCGTTGTGAAAGATGATGCCGAAGGGAGAATCGAGAGCCGAAGGCTCGCCCACAGGGTGAGCTTCTCATGCAACCTCTCATCTCATCAGTGATCCACTAGTGGATCCTAGGCGACCGCCTTCGTACATGTGACCATGTGAGTGGCTCAGTCACATGACTGGGCACCTCATGAGTCTATGTAATCTATATACATATAATACACATGTCCGGTATCAGTTACATATAGTTCCCTTTTCTTTTTATCTGTAATCTTTATTTTATTTTTATATATTCTTTAAAATTACTTACTTTTATACCCTTTTATAATATTACTTCTTTTATTAATTCTCTTTTATTTTAATGCCCCGCTAATTCCTTTACGTTGTTAACTCTTTTTAATTAGAAGGGGAATAATTCTACAATTAAAACAGTAATATTAATATTAACAATGATAAAAGTTTTGTTTGCCTGCGTAATCATTACGGTTGTAGTAAGTATAGTAGTTAAGTAAATTTACTATATAACATATAAATTCTCCTAGTTATCTCCGCTGGCAAATTGTACCCGCTGCTATACTTAGTTAGTGTACTAGCTTTCCAAATTGCTACTGTACGTTATTTATTATTGACTATTATTCCTAGCTTCTCGCTCGCAATTATCTATACTGTTATAGAATACACTCGGGTCCTTTTCCGGAACAAATTATATAAGACCATTTGAGCGACCGAACTGCCAGCTTTGGTTACTTGTATCATTTTGGAATATAGCCTAGCAGTGTAGTGATCCGCCAGCGTCGTGACACATACCCAGCTTCAAAAATCTTATTCCTCTCCAATTATAGTGCAATAATACTAGTTACGCGCCACTTTTCTTATTATTGTAAGAGCTGCCAGCTTTTACGTTGTTTAGTATCAATACTTGCTTTTTATTATTAATTAATATTATTAAACAATTTTTTATTGCTAACCACTCTCCTAAAAGAAAAACAATTTCTACTACATATAGAATACGTATTGTATATAAAACTTTATATTAATATACTAGGGTAACGCATAAGGCTATTGCTAAATATAAACTCAATAATTAAATAAATAAAACTATTTGTTAGAGCAGCTTATGCGAGTGTATTAATTACGTACGTTGAGAGGACGCGTAGTTATACTAATTATAAGAGGTTGATGGAGAATGGTAACGGGAAGGGCTTAGAACTTCCGGTGTGTTACGCAATGCAATCGGGTGCCTCTTCTGGGACAAACTATATAAGTCCACTTGAGCGACCGAACTGCTAGCTTTGGTTACTTGTATCCTTTTGGAACATAGCCTAGTAGTGTAGTGGTCCGCTAGCGCTGTGACACGATGGAAGAGGATATTATTTTAGATGATGCGCTGGCTATTGGCCGTAGAGACGTAGCTAATAACCCAAGAGGAGGAAACTAACCGAAGCGGGTAGAATTTAGGAAGGTCCTTAATAATAACTGCCTGAAAGACGTAGGACTAATAGACTAATATACTAGTTTTAAGAGTAACAGCAAGTTTAGCGCCGGGTAGAATACTCCGCCTAATTGTATGATAACACCGGTTGCATTTTAATTACTTTTTAAATTCGAATCATGACCGAAGGCATCCTTTTTAAAGTAATTAATAATTTAATTGAAAGTTTTCTTCTAGAATGTAAGAAAACTGTATAATAGAAGAAAGCTCTTATTCAAATAAGCGGAGACTTACAATACTTTAGGGATTTAAGAACCGAGTAGAAATTTAAATAGGAATATTTATTAGCTGCGAAGTAGTAAATATTACGGTATGAATTATTTGAATAAAGAGAGCGTGGCGTTATAAATTAATAAGAAATTGAATTTACAGGATTTAAATTTTTAAACGGAAAGCGACTAAGTAGTAGCGACATTCATAAAGTTTTAAGTACTCATAATTATTCATTCTATTCATTTACTTATTTTTATAGTAAGGATACTAAAATACCAATAAGAGTTATGTATTTTCGAATTTATAAATAAACGACTACTGAACAAAAATTAAATTATTATTGGAAATTTTAAATTTAAAATAAGTTTAAGCGCTGCAAAATTATTTGTATAAGTCTAATAATAGGAAATATATTTATTAACCCTACAACAAAAACTGATACAGTTCGGAAATATAATTAATTACGTATAAATATCTTACAACGTTAGAGCTTTTCGAACGGGAATTCTCAATTAAGCGACGGCAGAGCATCCATACGACCTGGTCGTGTGCATCTCCGTAAAAGGGAGCCTATACGGCCATCCGAAAAATTCGAAGATTTTCCTAACTACGAGGTTCGAACTCGTAGCCTTTTAGCTTTGGTGAAGTGTCACGACGCTGGCGGACCGCTACACTACTACGCTATGTTCCAAAAGAATACAAGTAACTGAAGCTGGCAGTCCGGTCGCTCAAGTGGTCTTATATAATTTGTCCCGGAAGAAGTACCCGAGTGCATTCCGTGACAGAAGATTATAATAGAGAATACGGCGGTGGGAGAGGATATAAATAATAGAAGAAAGGGAGGTTTAGTAATATTAATTGGAGAAGAAGAGCGGTTAGAAGGAGCGGTAATTCAAATATTCCAGTAATGGCATTGAACGTAGTTTTTAGCTACTGTCACAGCGCTGGCGGACCACTACATCACTAGGCTATGTTCTAAAAGGATACAAGTAACC